TACTTTTGTCTACCAAAAAACCCCCAACTAAAAACAAAATGTACTCACAATAAGAAGCAATAAACTGACAATTTACTTAACTACAGCGGGTTTTTCTACCTGAGAAACCGCATACATTAGCCACGCCCTAAATAATAACGCTGAATCAAGGTAAAACAAATACAGCATTCATGTTTTGAAAGTGACTGTAAAGTGATGGGTAAAACTTCTTTAGGAGTTATTTTATAGGAGTTTTCGTCTGACGAGTCGCCCCCTGCTGGCCATTACAAAGAACATTTCATCTGTCCCACTTGAGGACTCTATCTTTATTGTCCCATTTTTTTAATGCAAAGAGGCTTACATACAAAGCTTGTTTACCTCATGAATGAGATAGACCTTGGCCCCCACATAAATGCCCATCCTGGTCACAGCTCGGATGGCAGCATTCATCCCTAAATCAAGGATAAAAAGTGTTAGATCTTCCTCTTCTTGGGTCTTTGCACACAGGCTGTTGCATCACAGCTCTGCATGGGGTAATCAAACGGTAAGGTGGGTATGACTTCATTATCTGTTATCTTCTCTGACCGCAGCAATAGACAATGGGAGGCTTTGATTAGTCAGAAACAGATACACTGTGTGAGTTCAAAGGGGAGGCAGAAGGGTCTAGCCTTTTAGAAGCACTAACATTGAAGTGTTTTACACCCCTGAAAATGCTTATAAATGGTACTGTGAAGGCATAAAGCATGGGCATACAACCACATCTTAAAGTACTGCTATTATTCCACAATAGTGCATTATGTTGGATTGTCTTAGAATTACTGATGTACGAATGCAAACATCAGATTATTGCTGCAGCAAGTAAAGTAAACAAGTATTACTATAAACTCGTAGTTACTGTGTGACCTTTGATCCCTACTCATCCAGCTGCTATTCCGAGCTGACTACCAGCTGCTGTCACCTCAGCCCTCGACCTAGCCACATTTTCCCACCACACAAACACGGGTTTACATCCACACATATTGTCGAGTTGTGAGGTCACCTTGTGCATCTCCACCGCTGGTCAGCACTGCCATGGCCCGACCAGCGCACGTCATCTTCAGCTTCTCTAAGTCCATCAAAGACATTTTTTAATCTCTTCTCCTCGCAGCTACAAAAAAAAGAGAGAATTTGAAAAAATAAAACCCGTCGGCTGGGAAAGTAAAATTAGCTCTTAGTGTCTTGATCCTAGGGAATCTAGCTGCCTCTTCCTCGTTTGCAAGTTTCTCCTCAGCAGATCGTAACTTCCAGCGGTGACACCCACAGTATACAGCTGAGGGGGGATGTTTGCTCTTTTCACCCGCTCCGCCCGGAGCTGTGGTTTTCTCCACTCGCTCGTCTTCGAGAATCTCCGCCTTCTCTCTGAGCCCCGAGGCTTGTAACCGAAGGAAGTGCAACCAGCACGTACACCATGGGCAGGTATTCATACCGGAAGAAGGCGCAATCAGTGGAATAATACAGCAGCAGAACAGAGCATGTAAAACCTCAGGTCTGAAGATGTTAATGAAGTAACTTTGAGAGCCTGCCTATCAACAGGAAGGAGAAGAGCTGGTTTAAAAGCCAACTCAGTAATATTTTATAGTAAAAAATAAAAGTATACAAACTTCTGGGTATAATAAAGTATACAGTGTAGCCTCCACAGGACTACAGTAACGTGCAAATGTCTCGAGCATCCTCTCATTCGTCTGTATTCCAAGCTTTGTCATTCTTAAAAATTTTCTTCAGACATTTACTGCTTTTTCACCCCATCCCCTCCCCTTTTTTAACCTGCCACTATGACTCATCCAACTTATCAAAGAACCATTTTTTAAATTAAAGAGCATGACAAATAACATTATTTGATCCAATTTATTTAGTTTAATTTATGGAAAATGCTAATGATAGCACAGTTTGACAGACCTAAAGTGTTTTTGTACCATAGAGGTCACTCCCAGAGAAGTTTTAGCTGAAAACTTGGCATATCTATGCAAGCTGTGCAGTGTGTTGTGGAAAAAATGTGGGGAAACGGGACAAGTAGAGGACAAAAAAGGAAGTTCAAGCTTTAAAAAAACATTTAAAAGAAATACTATATAAAGTAGATAAACCGGATCTGAAAGTTATGTCCTTAAGAAACCTGGTCCTTCAGCTGACCCATCTACTGCTCACTGGAGCCTCAATAGAAATGGTCTCAGTAGAAGGGTGGTTGTCAACTAATCATTCTTAAGGTGGGGAAATGTTGAATTACGCCAAAAAATACTCAAAAACTGGACTGAAATTAGTGACAAGAAGTCTGATGGAGTGAAGAAGCTGAAACTTTTGGTTCAAATTACTGTCAATATGTACGAAGGAGGTCAGGAGAGCTCTTCAACAGCAAGTGCCTATAGCAGTCTGTTGTTTGGAGCCGTATTTCAGCCAGTATGTTGGGGATCTTGCCAAAAGTGATGGAATTATGAACACAGAAAAACACCACCAGATTTTAACCTACCATGAAATAACAGCCAGAAGATTTCTTATCCAATGGTTGGAAAAAGAAAAAAATAAAATAAAAATCATACCTGGATTGGAAAACTCACAATGGAACATCATCACTCATGAACTCAGCCTGGCTTTTATTTTACTTCATTACTATTCCTGAAGACTGCTTAATACCTAATAGAGTTCAGGCTGTGTTGAACAATTAATGTGGTCATACCAAAACACTGAATTGTATATGCTCTGTTTTTGTCTTGTATAATTTATATATTCAGTGAACATTTGCACATTTCAATAAATAAAGAAATGAGGAGTGGCTTAATACTTTCACACAGGAATATACATGCATTTCTGTCTCTCAAGATCTATCTATCTCATAAATGAGATCTAGATAGATATTTATGGAACATTTATGTGTTACCAACAAATAGCTGAATTCTTTTTTGTAACAAAACAGGAAAACAGGTAGATCTTTGAAGGAACGATTGCACCCGTTTTCAATTTTCTTCAGAAAATATGCGGCGTGGCTTTTGCACACACACAGCAAAAAATAAATAGAGGACAATAAAAGAAGCACTAAAGAGTAGGGGACAAACAGAAGAGCCAGACCACAGAGGTTTGGGTACAGTACAGCATTTATTCCATGCAGTTGTTTGCGCTGATTTAATTCTCCCAGTTACTCGTTGCACTGTACACTGGATAATACAGGAAATTGACAGGATTGGTTGATCATAATGCCTTTCAACAGGAAAGAGGATAGAAACAAGAGTAACAAAGAAACATGAGTCCGATAACACAGGACGAGGCAACAGGATGTCCACAGTTAGAGAGACGATTTCACAGAAATTTGAATGCAAGTTGTTTGTTTTTTTCCTAGTAAGAATGAGAGGAAGTGGGGGTCCCCGCAGATGTACCGAGGTCAGCATCGCGCATCCCTCCAGGCTTCACGCCTCATTTACACTGCGGAGACAGCCCACTGACTGACTTATGTTTGAAAGTGGTTCCTAACAACCTACGATGAGATAATTACTGATGTAAAGTCTGCTAAATCAAAGCTAAATGACGAATGGTCCCCTGCAGGGTCAACGTGACGATGCTTTTGTTCAACCACACACACAAATACTGTCCTCTTCCCTGACCAATTCATTGTGCTTCCTTTAAATAATACTTTCCAGGAGAGAAGTCGTAGGTCGTGACATTTCTGAAGCTGCCTGAAATTAAAAAGAACACTACTCCTCCTCACCAGTCATCCAAAATAAATTAAATTCAACAATCATGTAGGCCAGCTACAAAGAAAAAAAAAAGAAGATCAAAATTAAATTAAAACTACACAACAATCATACTTCACAGGATATACGCCAGAAAGATAATGTTATTAACAGCTTGATCGGATTACCCCGTCATTACAACACGCTGGGTTATTTCACACGAACGTAAACAAGAGTGAAGGAGGAGGTTCGAGGAAAGGCAGAAGGTGTAAGCCTTTCTGAAGCTGTGGAGCAAAAGGCAGTCCGTCCATCGGCGTTAATAATCACCTTGTGCTGCTCGGGTTTATGACTCACACCCTCCTGTAGTGTTCAATACTGATGTGGGGACAGACTTCAAGAGTTTCCTGCTCAACCAGTCCGCTGGTCATCAAGCTCGAGGCTTTGCCAGAGCTGTGCAATGACAAAGAGAGAGAGGGAGGGAGGCGATAATGGGTCACATGACATTTACAGGTGTTTATGTACAGGAGTAACACTGAGATGAGGTCGCTCCGGTGCTCCGTGGCCTCGTCTCTGGCTTATGTTCCTTTATATGCAGAATCTCAGCCGTCTGCACACGCTTGAGCCGGCAGCTTGACATCATTATCGTTAAATTGAAACTGGCTGTTTGTCAGCTTGAAGATCAGATCAGTGAGGATGATGACAGAAATGGGGCTTATTAAAAGCAAAACAAAAGAGAGCTCTCTCACAGATGCAGTATCCCTTTTCAGCGACAACCAGAGAGGTAAAAAGTAATATTGTTCTGGATAACCATCAGGAATTAAATGATGTTAGTCAGAAAAAGGGATGAGTTAGGTTATGTAAATAACCTAACTGTCGCCATCTAGTGGCTGCCCATATATTGCTCTTGCACAAAACCTGACCATCCCAAGCAGCAAAGACATGGCCACAAAAACAGGGCATTTTAACAACGATATTCAGAAAAATTCAGAGAAAACTGTTTCTGCTGGACGAAGAACCGCAAAACAAAAAACATCAGCGCTTTGTTTTGAATCTTTATCATACCGTTTAGCAGCACAGGGTTAGTCATTTTATCACCTTTCACAGAAACACAAAATAAAGATTCCCTCTGATCACATGTTTAAAGATTGCTTTTAGGAGAAGGGTTAGCTCTGTAATCGTGAGATTTTCCATGCATGTATATGGAGTTTACAGGTATGGCTGTTATATGCTAAAACACACCAAGTGCATCACCATCTCATCTTCCTGTGGACGGTCACACAACTTGTCATTAAAGAGAACATTTCATTTAAAGGCTTTTTCTCATACTTTTTTTTTTTTTAAAACTTTAAAACAATGTCGAGTCCTGACTGCCTTTCAAAAAAAAAGCAGCCGTGCATGTTTGTGTGAATTGGAAGTCTTTGGAAAAAAATGTAACTCTAAAGTGCGAAACATCTCACCATTACACAAAAATTCTGAAACCACCTGTGGTATGTGCTAAAAGCCGCAACGCTGATTAGACTGTGCGCCACACTAAAGATCGGAGATGGCCTGAAAGCTGCAGGGAAAGACCTCGAACCAACCATGCATGCATTTTATCCGCTGAAGACACAACTATAAACCCACAAACAACCAGAACAGATTCTTGACAAAATATTAAAATTAGCATTTAACTTATGATTTTTCTAAATTTGAGCCCCGTGTGGAGTTTGCATGTTCTCCCTGTGTTGTCTCTGCGTATGCAGGCTTCAGGTTCGGTTAACAGGGGATTCCTAACTAGCTGTAGGTGTGAAATGCGAAGCTCCAGCCTCCCAATCACTCCTTTTTGGATAAAGAGAAGGAACTCTTTGAGCTCTTGCTTTTTCAAACCTTTGATTGCACTTTACTACATGCACTAATGTTCCAAGTTATTAGGAAGAAGTGTAGCATTTATTTTGATTTTGAATCATAAATGAATAAACCATCCAGATTTAAGGAGGTGTGTGTGCTGAGGAGGACAGAGGACATTAGCTAACCATAAGCCTATATTTTTTCAGATTTTTTAAATAATACATTTTTAGTTTGGTCTATATGCTTCTTAACCCCTTATCACAACACATGACAAAATAATTTTCATCTTTCAGGAACCATTTGAATTTTCTCTCAAGGCAAAATCAGTTGAGGAGTGCACATGGTAACATCTCGGCTTAGTTGGTTTTACTGTCCGTGTTCAGCCATCAGTACCTTGTGAATGCTTTGTGGTACCGTGACACAACAAATATCCCTGTGAAGCTCGTGATCCCTTCTTTCTGAAACCCTTTGAATTGTGTCTCTGGCACAAACAGAAACAGAATTACGGTCATTTAAAGAGCTCTTCTAAAAGGGCCCTGCAGCTGGGCTGATGGTGAAAAGAGTTAAACTGATAAATTATTAAACATGTGATCAAAGGCACCTGTATTTGCATGTGTTTGGTGAAAAAGGATTAACCAAGAAACTCTTTAACTATTTGGGACTACATAAGGAAGTATTTTAAGAAAAATAAATAAATCTGGCCTACAAGATTCACACTTTGAATGTGAATGGATTAGTGTTTATTTAAGTATTTTAAGTGCCTTAAAGGAAATTCTAAAATCCCACTCTGGACTTAAAAAAATAGCCTCTATAAGCAGCTCTGACGCCTGGCGCTCTCCGCTGGCTACCAGTCACTGTGCTCGCGTCTAGCCAGCTAGACATGCAAGATCCTGAACAAGCGACTTCTTTCTCACTCGTGTTATTGCTGTTATAATTCGCAAATAATGACCATTTTGGACATCGGCATAATCCACCCTGCTAGAAAATGATCCGTGGAACATGCCGAACCTGAAGATTTCAAGAAATGGGATACTGCACCTGGATGCCTCGTCTCCACATCCCATTAAAGTCTGTTACAGCAATAAAACGTTGAACATCAAGGCTATCTGTAAGACCTTTTCGAGTATTCCTGCATGGTCCTTAATATGTGCCGCTCAAAAAACAAAAAAAACAAAACACATTCCTTCATATAATTGGTCCAGTCCAGTTTCACAGTCCTTGAACGATCCTGAGATGAGACTTGAAACTGTAATGTCTAATGGAGAGGAAAGGACTTTGCGTTGTCACACTCACATTCACTCACACTCTCACACACAGATAACTCCCTCAGTAACTCTGCCTGTGACATCTGATTGCTGATGACGATGACGTTGGCATGTCTTTAAGAGAAGGACGAGCAGAGTCAGAGAGGAAGAGTCTCTTTTCTTTTTTCTTTTTTTTCCTATAGCTCTCGGCCACGTCTTTATCTCCGATGCTCTGTCCGCTTCATGCAGTCTTGGGGCAGCGTTTTCATTTCGCGAGCTGCAGAAGCATGCTTCGACAGCTACGTGAGGGCGGGGGGATCCTGAAGAACAGACACATCCGGTGGTTTCAGGGAGGGAGAAAATCCAGTTGCGAGGCAGGTTGTTCATGCTGGTGTTCACAATGTTTTCCATGAGCTCCATGCTCCCCACTTTACTCACAGTGGGGAGGCGGGGTGGAAGCGGAGGAGGTGGGGTACTGGGACTTGATACTGTAAACTCATGATAAAGCAGGTTGGTCAGGCTGCAGTATGAGCTGAGCGATTGCTTGTTGTTTGGAGATGTCTGTCCACAACAGTGAGATGTTGAAAGCCGCTTTTATTCTGGGTCAGTCACCTGAGAGACCAACTACTGCAGTTATGCATCTCCCCACTGAAAGCCATCATCTTCTGATTGATAAGCCCTTCTCATCATTATCATGATCATCATCGTCATCATCTACACCGTCTTCCAGTCCTGGTCTCTCTCCATCACAAAGTAAACCCTTGTTTGGATTCAAAATGTCTGTTTATTTCCTCTCTGTTCAGATCAGAGAAGTCTCATAGCTCCTGAATTTTCCTTCAGAACTCAGACAAAAATAAATTATGAACGTTAAACTATCTATTGTACATTATCATTCAAAAGGGAATCCCTGCAATGGGTTGCCTGAATGCTGTGCTAGATGAGGGGTGGGGGTCATATGGGAGAGATTACATAGGACGTTGCTATAGGGAGCTTTGTTTCCAATGTTTGTCCTCTTATTGCTGTATTTTCTGCAGAGCAGAGAAGGACATGATGGCCTCCAGGCAAGAAAGATGATGAGCCCTTTAGGCAGGTTCACCACGAGGAAGGAGCCCCGACTTTGTTGTTTCTAATAGTGGCATCGGAGCACTCTGCTTCTGACGAATCGCAGTCCGAGTCCCCAAACTGTAGCGGATTCTGAGAGACAAAAGGGAACAAACAGGGGAACATTAAGAAAGATCCAGCATCAGGGATGATTTGAGATGCATTATGATCTCAAGAATGAGGTTTTGTGCAATGCAGTAAATAAAATAAACATAAATTAATGTTTCTTATGACTCCAAACAAAAAGGGTTTGGATTCATTAGTTCCAACTTTAAATATGACAGGCTATTTGTATTGCTGACATATCCACCCCTTTATGACCACAGTGGGTGGATGTGCTGCCGGCAAATCTGTAGCAACTGTGTTATGCTATCATGTGAATATGGACCAAAATCTCTGTGGAATGTTTCTAGCACCTTGTTGAGTTTGTGCCACGAAGAACAGTTCTGAAGCCAAAAAACGGGTGCAACCCCCGCTTCTTTCAAGGTGCATGTAAGATGTACCATAGTTTATAATAAGGTCAGTATGGACTGATTACACCCAAACAGCCCCTGTGACTCAAAAGCTCAGGCTGCAGACGGCTTTGCTCCTGCTTGTGCATGGGGAGCAGCTAAAACCACTTGTTTCAGGCAGAGGATGAACTGATGAGCTGCAGGGATTTTTTTTTAAACTGAGAATCATTCAAAGCTACTGTAGCAAAGTTCAAAGATAAAAATATAGAATTAGAAATGAGCACATTCGGTCCCCTGTAAATGAATAAATTAAACATCAAAGTAAAATGATTTAATGCCCTACATACGAATACAGAGTGTGTTTATCAGTAGTGATAGAGCAAAGGCTTACTATTAATAAGTGATGTGCATAGTGTCACATTATTTCAGTCTATATGTAGAAGCCCAGCCCTTTAAACCATCTGAGAGCCTTTATTTGGCCACAGAAGTGCTTTCAGCTAAATGCTCATATCCGCATGCTAAACCCATTTTGGTAGTAATCCTTTAAACAGCCGCTCATGGTGGCGCTGGAGGAAATGTTAGGACACCATTAAAGTCAGAAGACCACATGGTCTGGACTCGTGTCTTTTTACAAAGCTGCTGAGAGCTATCTGGACTGAAGCGGTGGATCTTACCACCCTTCGAGCTACATCTGCATAGAGATTCACGCAAACTGACCTCGTAGCTGTGTTCGTCGGAGCACAGCTTCCCCAACGAGATCTGCGTCTTCACCCTGCGGACGGCACACTCCTTGTCAGAGAGGCCGTCTGACTGGGTGGAGATGTCGATGGGGATGTCCGGCGTGTGGGACAGCAGCTCGTCCAGGTGTTCCTCCTGACTGGCGCTCAGCCTCTCCAGGGGTCCGCTGTGCGAGTGGTCACTGGTGTTTCCTTCCTCTCCGTCAGACACCGACAGGTTCTCTGAGCTGAAAGTAGAATAGGACTGGAAACTGCTCATACAGCGATGAGGTCTGTCAAGGAGAGAGGGGAGAAAAAAATGAAAAGAAAACTTCCACATGGTTACTGCAGCAGTTTCTTTTGAAAATGGCTCCTAGTTGATCTGCTAAAGATCATTTTCTTTTGCTGCAAACTAAATGACCTTCTGTATTCACCTCTGTCTCCTTGGAAACTCCACTTCACTATCCACCTCTCCCTCTTCTTCTTCGGATGACTCATCACCACCCTGAAAAAGAAGCGGTAACAGCTTTTAATCCCACACAAGCACACGTTACATACTCATCAGCGTAAAGCTCTGCTCACCTTCCTGAGCGGCCTGAGAGTGCGGGGCAGTGCAGAGGGCAGTGTGTGCGCGTTCTGGGATGCATCCTGTTCCTGCGTCTCTGTCTTCTTTGTGGTCTCTCCATCTGAGACTGTGTCTTTGTTGTGCGCCCCCAGAGAAGACTGGTTGCCCTCTTGGGTGTTGAGCAGCGAGTAGTGCGGCAGCTCTGGGTGGCTTGATAGGGGAGGGGTCTCCTGACAGTGTAGACAGCCGGGGAAGGGGTGAGCCTGGCAGCAGGGACATAAAGAACCAGCACCAGCGCCTGATGCAGGTTTGGAGCTGGTGGATGAAGTCCGCTGTCGCGTGTCTGCATCCACAGCGGTGGAAATGAGGTCAGGACTGGAGCCAGAAACGCGGCGCTGCATGTGGTCAGTTTGAGGGCTACGGAGGGCGGCGGCGGGGCCGAAGTATCGCAGGTTGTTGGCACAGTTGACAACAGCCTGCTCGCGACCTTTCAAGGGGAGAAAGTTCCCCTCCGTTTGAGGAGGGTGGTGGTGGTGATGATGGTGGATCGGTTGCTCCTGGAGAGAGTGGGTTTCTTCTGGTGCTCCAGCAATGGGTTTCAGCACAGTGGAGAACTCGCTGTGGCTTCCTTTGCTGTTGGCGCGGCGGTGACGAGGCTTGCTTCGGTACCGGGCTTTGCCAGGAGGGGTGGAGACCTTCGGGCTAGCAGACAGCGGTGAGGGCGACGGGAGAGGGTCTACGCTAGGGATGCCATCAGAGCGAAGCAGGTCTGGCCTGGAAAATATGAATTGTATTCAACAGTTCATTTAAGTATTTAAATGACACTCTGACCTGAACTGCGATAAATCACACATCTGCAGCTGAACCTACAGATACATGAACGTGTAACTTTTAATAGACATAATACGTTTGAAAATCAGACCTTTTGGTGGGAGGCATCCCAGGTTTGTGGGAAATGCTTCCTTTCTTCTTGATGAGCTTCTCCACAGCGTTGGATCTAACGATCGGTCGGACTAAGTGGCGCTTGTAGCTGCCGGGATATTTCTTCTCCACCGCCTGCTCTCTCCTACGGTGATGCACAGAACTAGATTTAAGTCAGATCATGGGGGAAAAGCAGTCACACTGCACTTTAGTTAAACACAACATAGCAAACATTAATGGGAAGTGAAAAGCATTCCTGACAAGTAAAGCTACATCGAGGAATCTGCAATAATTTAAGAAACTCACTATTTATGTACATCACGTGTAAGTCAAAAAAAGCAGAGACTCATAGGAAAAATCTAAAAATACTGACGATACCATTCAGATCATTTTTGTCACTCTAGCTAGCTGAACATGCTTTCAGTTCTGTTGCAGTTTGTTACTGGAAATGTTGAAAGAGGAAATACGGGCACAATGAGAGCAGGATACTAGTAAAGCACAGATATGACAAAAATGTTTATCGACATACTTCATCAGCTCCTTTTCTCGGACCTCCAGCTGCAGCATGATGGCACTGAGCTCCATGTAGAGGTTGTTGGCTCTCTCCAATTTCCTCTCATAGTGCTCCCGGATGTCCAGTGCATGCCTGAGAACATGCATGAAATGCATCCAAATGTTCAACTCCAGTAACTTCTGCTTTATGTACAAATTAAAAACCATGTCTTCTATTAACAAGCCACATGTCTGCTCTCTTTTCCCCACACACCTGAGTTCATCCCTCCTGCGTCGGATCAGCTCCTCGTCCAGCCTGTGGATGCAGGTGCCTTCACTTTTGATCTTCTCAAAATGCTTCTTCACCTCCTCCCTCCATTCTGCCTGTAATATGGACTTACACAGTCAACATGCAGCCAGAGCATTCACTGCACAAAGAATTACACTGCAAAAAGCACACAAAGTTAAGGTGTAGTCTTGCATTTCTCAGTATTGGTCCAGACCTGAGACTTAAAGTAGGTCTCCTGAGGAGTTCCCAGAACATCTGCAGAGGCGATGTCGAGATGTAGGAGAATCTGACGAAACGACGGCCTATTCCTGGGCTTTCCCTGCCTGGAGTTCATGAAAATCATGAAGGAAGATACACAGAGTATGTTTACGTTCTAGCAGTCATCATATTTTAAGTGATGTAGTAGAAAAGCTGTTTTTGCTCACCATGTCTGTTTCATGAGGATTTTAAACCCGTCCGGGCACGTGGAGGGGACGGGAAGGTGGAGACTGTTGCTCCCGACACCCCAAATAATGGCGGATGAGTCCACATCTTTGTAGGGAATCTCTCCAGTCAGTAGCTCCCATAACACAACTCCAAATGACCTACAACACACAAGCAAAGATGGACAGGTTTCATTGCAGAAACATGACTATTAAAGATGACACTTAAAACATCCTTTTCTATGATGTGGAAAAGCTAAACATTGCTTCATATTTCTTCATCTATTACTCACCAGATGTCTACTTTTTCAGACACAGGCTCATTTCTTATCACTTCTGGGGCCATCCAGGCCACCGTCCCCGCAAATGACATCTTTGTACTTTTATCACTGAGCTCTTTGGATGTGCCAAAGTCTGAGATTTTCACAGTGTCGTTGTGGGTCACCAAAACACTAAAAGATGCACAAAGAGAAAACACAGCAAGGTCAGTCTATTTGGTTAAGAGGAGTGTAAAAAGAAAAAAAAAAGAAAGGAAAAAAAAAAAAAGGCAGACAAAGCAGGATGAGTTGGCCCGGGGTTAAAACATTCAGGCTGATGATGATGATAATGCACAAGTTTTTACAGGGTATGAGCTTTTCTTTCTTTAGCACTTAGAATCAGTTTTAAGCCAAAACGACTTCGCTGATAGAGAAGCATCTGAATCACCCCATTAGTCGAATGAGTCTGACCTTTCCAGCACATTCAGACTGCTATTATTCTGCTGACTAATACAGTGTGCGGCACTGCTGCAGCACGATGATATTGATTAGAGATGCAAGCGTGCAGCGGGGATGAGACAGAACAATCTGTCATACTCTTACATGAAGACGAGTAGCTTTTGTTAAATTTGAGAATGGTATTTGAGTTAATGTCAGACTATTCAGAGCAGAAAGGATGGATTGTGTGAACACAGCACTCATGATGCACCAGGAAAACTATGCATTTCATTCCCACAAAAAAAAGAGTAAATAACTTAAATTTGATTTAGGTCTACTACTGTGTTTTCTCAACACAAATGTATAAGATGCTCCTCCGTCAGAAAGTTAATCAGCTTCCTGCCCGACAAACTCACTTAGGAGACTTGAGGTCTCTGTGGATGATCTTGTGCAGGTGTAGGTAGTTCATGCCGCTGGCAATGCCTGTGGCCCAGTCCACCAGCAGCCTTGGGGTCACTTTCCTCCCCGCTCTCAGCACCTCATACAGCTGACCCTGGGCACAGTACTCCATGATAATGCAGTAACAAGGTGCCTGGGTGCACACACCCCTGACACAGAAAAAAAGACAGAATACATGTTAAACACACCCAGAGCGCCACCAGATGAAACAAACGCGTCACGCACAAGGGCGAGTGACTGTGGACTTACTTGAAGCTGATGATATTGGGATGCTTGAGCTTTCGCAGGTGTTTAATGTCCGTCTCCTTCTGTTCTCGCACCTTCTTGATAGCCACTTCCTCGGAGCGAAACTTGCCCAGGAAGACGGCACCCTGTGCTCCGCTGCCGAGCCACTGCAGCTCTGAAATCTCCTCGAAAGGAACCTCCCACATGTCTGAAATCAGGTTAGCAAGTTTTGTCAAAATGACCACAGCATCCTGGTACTTTGCAAAGTGTACATGATGAACTACATGTGTTCTTTAGCAACTTTTTTGTCAGTAATACTTGCTTTTCAGAACAGTGTTTTATAGGCTTAAAGCCCAAGGATAAGGATGTTTGTGTGTCTTTCATTTCGGTTTATATAAATGTGAAGCTACTCCTACAAGTTATGAAGAAGTAAATACTTCATATTGGTTTATAGCAGTGGTGTCCAAACCCAGACCTCGAGGGCCGGTGTCCTGCAGGTTTTAGATGTGTCCTTGATCCATCACAGATGGTTTAAATGGCTAAATTACCTCCTCAACACGTCTCGAAGTTCTCCAGAGGCCTGGTAATGAACTAATCATTTGATTCAGGTGTGAAGACCCAGGGTGAGATCTAAAATCTGCAGGACACCGGCTCTCGTGGCCAAACCTGCTCCATAGGTTCAGATACCTATAGGTACCGTCTCCATCACAGCAGGTCTCTTATCTTGTAAAACCTTCTTTCATCCTTGCTGCTATCCTTCTGTCCCCTAACACTCATCTCCACCCACTCCACCCTGCCTGTTCTCTCCATTTCACCCCTCTTGTGCATTGCCCGTCGCTTTGGATGGCTGGCATCGGGTACTTAAACACATCCACCTTCACTACTGACTGCATCTTTCTGCTTGCCTCCCTCTTATTCACACACATTTTGTCTTCCAATATTTTTGTTAAACCCTTGAATTATAGCTGAAAGTCTGCACTTTGATCACAGCTTTCAAATCCACAGTGGTGTAAATTTCCACAAATGACCACAAAAATACACCAGAAAGTACATATTTTATAGTTCTTACCAATATTTGTATAAATAAGCCTTTAGCTCCTATAAATGTCTTAGACCTTCAAATACTGAATCATGCTGTTTAAGTGGTTTTAGAAACAGAAGCTACGACCTCTAGCCCAGACTACGGCTAAGCAGCCACGAGATCCAGCCCAGTTCTGTCTGACCTCGACTCATATCCCGTAGCTCTCGTCCAGCCTGAGCGTGCAGCCCTGCGGCAAGGTGAGCCTACCTTTACCATGACCTCAATTCAAACTGACAGCTGTGCAGCTTCACTTGCAACAGCAAAGCGGCGAAGCCAGGACGGGCTATTCAATTACAGTTTCAGAATACATTAGGAGAAACAAGAGGGAATCTTTTGTTCGTTTCTCAGAAGTTTCACAGGTACGGGGACATCTGAATTAAACAAAAAGCATTTAGCGTGTTAAACTGATGCAAAACAGAAAGATAAAACCCAAAGTTTACCTTGCTGTTGTAGCTTGTATTCAGTAGAGTAGGTCTTCCCAATAATGTTCCACACAGGCCGCAGGCAGCCAAAGAGCCCCTCTAAGAAGCCTCCCGACCCAGGAGGGGCTCTTTGGAAGTGCAGCTTGATGTCATCAGGGTGATGCGGGAGGTTCGGCTTGCCCTCTCCATTGTGGTCCATTGGACAGTCCCCCTCTCCCATATGCTCGTCCATGCCGCTGCCACATCCAACGTGCTCATGGGATGCCGGCGACCCAGCTTCCTCGTGGTCCTGCTCCTGCAGCTGGAGCACGCTGTTGTCAAAGTGTCCGCCTTCGCTCCGAGTTGAGTCCACGCTCAGGGCTGCGTTTGGTGGACTAGTACCGCCCAACATGGACTCCTCATCCTGGCCAGGCGTCTGCAGCAGGGGAACGGGCAGGTGTGTCGGCGGAGCGAGGTCTGTGATGATCTGAGGAGGTAAGTTGGATAGAGGGGCCTGAGGAGGCTGCGGTTGGGAGTTAGGCGAGCTGGATTTCTTCATGCTGTCCCCAACCACAGTGAGTTTGAGCTCCTCCTTCAGCTTGCCCACCAGTAGACTTGGACAGGAAGTCCAAGAGAGCACCTCAGGGGAGCTGCCCATGGTGTCGTGCATGTGTATGGGCTGCCCAGTGACGATGAGTGGGACGTGTCCTAACACACTGGTTTGTCTAAATGCTGAAAATCACCTGAAGAGAAAAACAGAATGAGAAACTGTTAACTAGATTAAAAACTACAAAAACAGGAATGCAATTAAATACATTTACATAACTATAGTCACCTCAGATAAAACATAATTAAAGCTGTCTGCATGATAGGACCCTATTACGTCCTAAAACAGACATGAACACCTCTCATGTCCTCTATTAGATCTGCAGGGATTGACAGAGCATTAATGATTATTATTTTTAGCTACACAGTGCAAACACTGCAGGGTAAATGATGTTGGAAATATCAGAAAGGCATCAATTCAGTGCGGAAGAGACAACACTGCAGAATTAATACTAATAACTCATTTCTAGGAAACTTATAGGAAACAGTCAGCCGAAACCAATCACACACACCAACCGAGGCTTTTCTATTATCTCTCTGAAGCAGTAACACTGTAGACGGGATTAAAGACCTTGCTGTGTATTAGGACTGCTGAGAGGAAGACATCTGGCACGAACAGCCCATTCTCAGTCTTAAAGCCAACAAAGGCCCAGGCAGCCGTGAACACGGAGGGTCAGAAACCGACACAGAATCACCAGGTGAAGATCTTTACCATCCTAATGTGTCTGTGAGTCAGGAAGGGACACAGCATTTAAAAATAAACGACAAAAAATATGCAAATCCTCTGTATGCACTTTTATATTTGGATTTTGATATTGTGACATATTTGGTAAATGCACTGGTGCTTTTATAAAGCTTTTCTACTCTATTTAAGCACTCAAAGTGCTTTCTTTCTGCAAGCCTCATTCACCCATTCATACAAGCACCCTTTTCTATGTCTAACTTTATATAACCTGCTTGCTCTTTATAAAACTATAACTTTTATCCTAACATTTACAACTTGGGGTTTGGTGTCTTGATGAAGGCTATTTTGACATGCAGATTAGACCAGCCCTGCGAAAGATTAACGGCTTGTCCAGGAAGTACCCTGCCTCTCGCCCCATGACAGCTGGGATAAGCATGAACTGGATGGATGGATGGATGGCATAATTATAATTCTTTGTTAATTGAGGAAATAAAATACCAAATCACACTGACAAATTGCCTATTGCATCCACAAATATTACACAAATACTTCCACGTCCACTGATGGTGACGTGGCAAAAGCATAAAATCAAAATAATAATAATAATAATAAAAAAAAAAAAAAACATTAAAATTTTGTTGTGTTACATAACACTGGCTCACATGATCTGAAGGTTAAGGTTTGATAGTTTAATAACACTAATCAGGAAATAAATCTGAAAGATCATCCAGCTGGTGAACCCCGAGTAGAGATCATTTCATCATGCATACCGATCCAAAGGTTAAGCACAAACATTCATGCTCAAGCACTTTTTGCCTGATAACATCAGGCATAGTTAAAAATTACCAGCAATTTTGCAACGTGACAAACAAAACTATTTATTACGCAACAACAGAACCAAAACTATCAACATTATTCACCTTCTGCTACCAATTTTGCAACTTTTAAAAGGATCGGTCATTTCCTAAAAGGCAGATTTTAAAGAGACTGTGGGGAACTTCAGGCAATGACTAATTTGAGTGCATTTACGACAGTAGGATGAAATATAATAAAAACTATGTTTGGATAAAAACATAAAGTAGTAAAAAAAATTAACTCCTGGTTAATTATTCAGCAGCAATTTCTGAATATTTTTAATATTATACTAAAATCTCTGTGTGTTTGATTACTACTCATTGCTTCTCAAATATAATATTATTTCTTACCTGTGCTGAAGCCCTTTTTCCTGTAAGTGTACCTACATTCATGATGTAGTAATTGGGTTTGTAGCCGCTCATATATAGCAGGTCAGTGTACCTGGACTAGAGGTGTTCTGTACGCACAGTGCATTTTTCCAACACTGCCACCAGGAGTTGCCAAAGTCAAAACCGGTCAAATCCTCCAGGCCGAGGCTTTAATTTGTTGCAAGTGTGCCGCACGCTGTGTTTTCAGACAAACAGATGGCCTTTTATCCACAGTCTGACTGTGTTCATCTACCCAAAAGGGGGAAAAAAGTGAATCAATCACTGTGTAAATGACACTTGAGCTTTTTCTCTTTTAAATCCACAAGGACAAAAATCCAATCATGCCTGAGCAAGCTGTAGAAAACAGAGGGTGTGGGAGACAGAGAGAGAGAGAAAGGGACATAGTGAGAAGCTGCACAGTGCGCACGGTCACAAAAGATCAAAGTCCAGGAGGGAGGAGACAGAGAGGCAGAGCAGTACCCTGGCTCTGTGTTACGTGGAAGGAGGACAGTCATATAGTCCAACTGAAGCCAGCGTGGTTTATGTTGCTCTCTGCAGCACGGTCGTAGAGCTCCTCCACTTGGCACGGGTCAAAGTACAAACAAGCCCTGATTACTCGGCTGCAGATAAGTTCTCTGCAGACAAAGCTGCAACAGACTGCCTGGAGTCCCGACTTCAAACTTAGTTTTAATCCCACTTTTATTCCAAGCTTCTGTTCAATACTTTTTGCAAGTGTTCGCCAAAAGCATGTACTGTATCCGTGTATCTACTGGACGGGTAACATGAGTGGTGTGAGTGTGGGGCGGCTGCCAGGAGCTCATCTATAATGCAGGCCTGTCTCTAAGCAGGCTGCTGAGAGTGCAGGGGAAGGAGAGAATGCTCTCTCAGGTATCCAATAAATCCGTCCCTTCCAAAGCAGAGACAAACGAGCTGTACGAGCAAAGGCCCATGCTGTAATTCCACCTCACAAACGGCTCTCAGAGCTGGGCTTCTGACGTGGGCTTGCTGTGGGTGGATAAGGCTGACTGGACAGAAACATGCACAGGAAGACCTAAAAATGAACACCTTTTTACTTTTTTGTTTTTAACTAAATCTCTTTCCAAACAACAAGAATCTTTAGTGCCTTTATTCTACAAATCCAGCACCAAGAACAGGAAATGGACCTCTTGCTCTTTTCCATTAATCTCTAATGGAAGATCTCTATGGGCGTAGAATCCCATGAATAATGTCTGTGCTGCGGGTTTCATTTCCACAGGCATTTATTTACAGGACTTTCCGAAAGAGATCGTGACTGAGTAAAAGGACAAACCGACGGAGTGTTTGCACGAACTCGGTGCTGCTTCGCAGAAGTACACAACCCACTTATTTAGCAGAATGAGTAAAATAAAGAAAGAAAGGGAGGAAGAGAGGGAGAAATTATCAGAGGCTGATCATTTAATCCCTCTACAGGGCTCTAGAGACATGCTTGTCCAAACACAGACCCTATTCAGCCCTCCCCCTCAATTTATCCTCCACATAATTCCTTTCATTTCTTGCCTCTCTAAAGGTGACCTAAAGCCTAACAGATCATGACATGTACATGCATAGTATATAGATACAACCTTAAAAGAGCAGAGCAGCACTGCCGGATAAACAGCTCACTGCAATTGGTTATTGTAACGCTTCATATCCGAGTGCATACAACAGCTGGTGGTGCAGGGGGATCAGGTTCAGGGAGCACACATGCTCACACACACACACACACACAAACACGCATACACAGACAGACGCACACATGCCCAGGGCGTGTCTGGCGAGATCCAATAATCCCACTACTCCCAGCAATTCACGGGGGAATGCAGTTTTTTTTGTATCACTCAGCAAAAGCCAGTATGGTTGTTTAGATCCTGCTTCAACACTCTGTGCCAGCAGGACGTTCAGCAATACTTTGAGCGTAAACGCACGTACACAGTCCACCCGCAAAACGCGGCATTGCGGGCGGCATCTGCGTCTCTGTGCTCCTCATTAAGAGAAGCCCTGCTGGGACCCATAGAGGGAACCTCCCTTCAGGTGACAGCTGCGACCCCCTGACAAAGAACCAATTTAGCCCCTATCCCACCACATCATTCACACGTTACCATGTCAACACAGCATCCGTCCTGACCTTCTGCTTCCAGTCGCACTCAATCTCATCCAACACTTGGAGAGGCTACAAGCGTGAAGGCTGTAGTTGTAACATGTGCTACCTTGTCTTGGACACAGAATGATATCTAGATCTGGATTTGGTTTTTAGAATATCAAGATAATGTCACTCAAGCCTTTTTTTGTTTACATTTTATACATATTAGCAAAGATGTGAACTGAAATAGCAACAAATCCTCTAAAAACATTCCAGGATACAGATACAGACGTGGATCAGCATCAAAAGTCAATCACGTCCAACTTTAGCCTAAACTCACCTCCGTTAAAACCTGAGCAATCCCGCTAACAAGCAGACAAACTGAACCAATCACGTCAACTCGTCCACAGAGGTCACGAGGACGAGGAAAACCATATCATTCCACTGATCAGTTCTTCAGCTTCCTTTTGAACAATAAGATGTCAGAAGAGAAGTAAACATCTCACTTGATGAGATACTGGAGGTTCAACAGCTGCCCTACAAACAAAATCAAATCGCACACATGCCTACAGCACAATGAGGCACAGCCTTTCACATCCGGTCATTCCTGAGAGCTCATTTCTGGGAGGAAAGAAATACCTGCAACAACAGAGCACTTTCATGCCTCCCACTTCCCTCTTGTCTTGAAACAAACATGAGTGAGAGACAGATGGTGAGAGCAGCGCTCGTCTTCACTGAGCATGTGCTCGTCTTGGTTATTCTGGGTCATAATTGAACAGCTGAACTCTGATGTCTGTGCTTGTTTCTCTCCTCGGTGCACTCTATGGACTTTTGCGGCCTCTGCTTATCTAGTGACTAAGCAATGATGTGAAATTTGTAAACATGCTGCTCATATATTTCCATAAATTCCTCGGAAATGTGAGCTGCCCGGTCCTGATTTGATAGTCGGGGATGTGGTCCGACGTGTAAATCAGCTTTCGCTTGCTATCAAGGCCTGCCAGAGGGGATTGGACAGGCTGCCGTAGGTGGGTGAAAGTAATAATCTGCTGGTGTGGGGAAGAGCTGTGGAAGGGAGAAATAAACGAATCTGGCACAGCGCTCGGGCATCTGCCGTCACACGGCTGACATTTCCCACTAATACCCTTTTTTCATATTCTGATTCCCTCTGCTGACTCACCTGGGCGGACTTAAAATACCTGTTATTGGCCGAAGGCGAAAGCGGGTCACAGAACAATAATCCCTGCCCGTTTACCTGCCTGCTCAGGGTCTGACTGGCGTTGCTGGTCGAATAGGAACAAGGTCGAAGCTGCCGCTAGAAGCCACAGGGAAAGTGCCAGGTGGGATCATGTGTAATTGGGTTTGTTGTGAAGACTAGATTGAGTCAGGTGGAGGAGGAGGAGGAGAGGGGAGGTTAGGTGCATGAATGAAAGTGGCAACGAGAGGCGATGAGTAGGAGGGAATGAAGAGTGAGTAAAAACAAACCCGAAGAGTGTGCTGTCAGCATTCAAACCCTCCAGATGACCAACAGAATGAGCACGACTGTGAATCATTAGCACTCCAAACACACACACAACTTGTGCCTCAAATAGCCTCATCTGGTACAAGCCAGAATCGGAGAAAATAAATAACTGAAGAAAAGCTTGTGCGCCATCGACACGTCACACTCTCTCCCTCCAGCCTCTTGGCAAGGCTGCAGACAGCACTGCAACCAGGACACAATGCCTAAAAATCTGCAACTATCTGGCATATGCTCCTCTGCAAAACTCTCAAGGCTTCAATACGAGCCTTTCTAGTCAAGCAGACTCTCTGCTCCCAGTGATGCTTAGCAATAAAAGCTCTACAGAGGTCTATTTATGAATACTAACCACACTCCCACACACACACATCCAGATAGCTGATGAATTCGAACAGACAGAGAGGGATGGTGAGGCCAAGGAGACAGTGGAGGGAGAGACTGGCTCAGAGAAATGTAGATAAAGGGGGAAAAAAGCAGATTAAGAAGGCAAAAGGGACCAAAGAAGCTGTGAATGAGGCAGATAAAAAGGAGGGTGGACTGCAGAATGAGTGAAATCAGAGGAAAAATTAAGACGAAACAGAAAAACAGACGTTTTGCTGTTTTCCGTGGCTGCCCGCGGCGCGAAACTGTACCGACCACGCTCCAGTGGGAAAGACTCCCAGAGCGACAACAAAGGACACAAGAGGAGCCGGCTCCATGTGAACCGGGCCTGTCTGCCCTGCAAGACCAGGAGACAGCGGCACGCACGCGCACACACACACACACACACACACACACACACACACACACACACACACACACACACACACACACAAAATACTGCACAACAGGGCAGTTGCTGCCACAACAATTCCCCTTGTGCTCTTTTAATAGGGACGGCCTGCCTGGCCCGACAACAACAAGGAGAGAGACAGACACACAAACAGTGACACCACAGACAAACATGCATATTGTAGGAGCCTGCCTGTGACTGACACCGTTATAATGGCTGAAATATGAAAATACACAAAGCCCCAGCTAAAAAAAAAAAGAAAAGGAAAGAAAAGTGGGGCAAGAGACTCTAAGGGGACCAAGTGGGTGTTGTTCTACATGTTCTTCCTTCTGCTCAAAAACAGCCTCTCTAGCACAGCAGAAAGCCCAGAAAATCAATACACATTAGTGCTCCTGTTATCTCCTGGCTTCATGCTTTCCCTGCTTGCTCTTAAAAACACAGCATGCATGTAAATCTAAGCAGTGAACCTCCCCCAATCAGCAAAGTCAGACACTCTGGAGAAAACCCCTCATAAACATGAATATCCAGCTTTTTATTGATTTTTTTTAATGCTCTCTTGCAAAAGGACGGCTGGATGTACGTACGCTGGAGTCGTCCCCTCCTCCACCTCCTCTCCTCTAAAGCCTGGCTGCTGGCTACTCATCTTGTGTAGTTACATAAACATGCTTAGTAGCAGAGGACAGAGGTGGGCACACACAGAGCTCTCCTGCTGCCAAGTAAATACAGAGGTTGATGTAAAGAGCTGCAGGAAAGTCGAACATGGCGAAGCGGGCAGGGGGACGTTAAATATGCGAGAGTTGAGAATGAGAAGCAGTGGAAGGAAAGTCAGTGTGGTTTGGAATGACCGTGACTGTACACAAAATACATGTGGCTCAGATAAGTCAGACTGAGGGGGAGTTAGTTATCTATTTATTTATTGTTATTATTTATTGCATTTGCTGGCAAAAATAAAGCAGGTGAGGGCGGGTCTGTTGCCCTGTATCTTTACCTACATCCCACCTGTCCTTCAGAGGGCACAGAGAAGCACTGCATCAAAAAAAAAGAAAAAAAAAGAAAGAAAAAACCCAAAACCCAGCAGCGGCGTCACCGCTGATCCTAAAATAGCTCCAGCACGCACCAACGCACGACTGCTCAACACACTCCTGCAGCACTGCTACTGAACAAATACTGACATGTGCTCTATACACACAGACAGACTCCCTGCAGATGTGCGATGTGCAAAAGAGAAAAATCATACCCATAAGCATGAGAAGGACAAGTACCTCCACATTACAGTGCTTCCACTCAGATGAACGGCAAAAGACATAGCATCAGCAGATTACTCACAGCAGACACGGCTCAGATTCATGGTCCTCTCTCAGCTAAGGCAGGGATGTGTGGAGGGGGGGAAAAAGCCGGGCGAGAGGAAGACCGAACTGACAGTCGGGATTCAGAAGAAAGGAAAAAAATAATAATAAAAGAACAGGAGTGAGGGAGAAGGCAGAGGATGGAAGATGACAGACATTCCTCTAACTCCTGCAGCACCTGGGCTGTGAGTGGGAGGGCGGCATAGTCACCAGGACGATGAAGACCTGCTCACGTCACACTTTTCATGAATGGAGCCGTCTGACGCAGGGAGGACGCAGCTCAAAGAGCAGAGGAGATGGGGGGGGCGGAAAGGGCGGAGCTTGTTGCACAGACTCAGAAAGGAGGAGGTGCAAACGGAGATGAAGAGGAAAGCAGAGGAAGAGAGATGGAGGAGGAGGAGGAGGA